CCTAAACCCTAAACCCTAATACTTAATATGGGGCTGCGAACACATTTGTTGGCTCGGCAAACGAGGCCGCCTTCGAAGTCCGACCTACCCCGAAAACGGGGCTTCAAAACACATGCGACCCCCGATGGAGTGGACCAAAAAGAAAGGTCATGCTGTGAAGCCAATAGGGTAGTTCTCTAAATTAGGGTCCCGTTTAGGGTCCTTCTTGTAAGGGTGCCGTACTATATTGGGGACCTAAAAAGGGACCCTAATTTAAAGAACTACCCAATAGCTGTCAGGGAATGCCAGCTGTCCTGCCTTCTAGCCCCCAAATCGTAAGTAGTACAGCTGGAATGCATTTGTAAACCTGATGGGTGTTCTGGTTATATACATGATCAAGTCTGCGAAGCATGCGGGAGCGGCCGGACGCAGGGGAAATCACAGCCAAAAAGAAATGCCTTCAGGAAATCCCTCACTGAAGTTGGAGGGCGTGGTGCTGATGCACGTGGTCGAAGCCTGGTCATCTGGGTCTGCTGCCTTGGGGATGGCCAGAGCGTCATGCTCCAAGCTCAATGGGATCTCATTGAAACTGGAGCGCGGGGAGTCTCCGTCCGCGAGCCACTTCACGGTGCAAAGGCCTGTCGTGAGGCCCATGTTCTCGAGTCCGGGCGGCGGGCCCATGTAGGGAAGCGATCCCATCATGGACGAAGGGTATGGGGAAAGCAAGTTGCCCTGGCGTGGTGTGTGGTTGCACGTGGGAGCAAAAGACGTCACACCGGTGCCAGGGGAGGGAACTCCAAGCAGATTCTCTCCGCTGGCCGCTTGCTGCGGCACACGTTTGGCTTTCCCACTTATGCTCATGCTCTCCGAATGAACGAACCTGCATGCCTGCCCACGCTTGCAGGTGCCGGTCTTGGAAAACCTGGGCTTCGAAATATCCACGGAGAGGAAACTCAAACTTCCATTTCATCAAGGTTCCTTTAAGAAACAGGTACGAAAAATCATCAAAGTATGGTAGTCCAGAACCCAGAAAATCATCCTAAACCCCCAAACCCTAAAGCCCCAACCCAAACCCTAAAGGCCCTACGCCCCAAAAGAACCTGAAACCCTAAGCACTAAAAGCTCGAAATCCCCCAAAAATCCTTCAAACTCTCAAAGTCCTAAAACCCTAAACCCCAACCCTAAAACCCTATAAACCCCAAAAGAACCTAGAAACTGGAAGCAAGGCTTTGGGCTCGGAAGGAGCTCGGAAGTCTCGTGGGCAAAGGTGCACTCCGCCCCGAGCTTGCACTCGTTAGACTGCCAGAACCTGGGTTCTATAATGGTCTAGGGTGTAGGGTTTAGGGTTTAGGGTTCTATAATGGTTTAGGGTTTAGGGTCTAGGCTTCTATAATGGTTTAGGGTGTAGGGTTTAGGGTTTAGGGTTTACAAGGGGATAGGGTTTAGGGTTTAGGGTTCTATAATGGTTTAGGGTGTAGGGTATAGACGGGAATAGGGTTTAGGGTTTATAAGGGTTTAGGGTTTAGGGTTTAGGTAGAGTGGCTTTATATGAAGGGCTCTTATAGGGGTTTAAGGTTCAGGGTTTAGGGTTTAAGTTTAAGGCACTTATTAGTTTCCGACACTTAAAAAATGGTCCGTGGTAGTAAGTAGCATTGTGCGCTTATGCTGGCAACTTAGAAGACTCCTCCCTAAACCCTAAACCCTAAACCCCTAAACCCTAAACCGCCTAAACCCTCCTTAACAGCCCAGGAGCTTGCACATGCGAGTGAACTGCACGGCTTTCTTCTGCTCCGCTTTGGTCATGGCTGTTTGTGCGGCAATTGCAGGGGCGATCTGCTCCCCCGCTACTGAACTACAAAGTAGTAGCACAAACGGCTTCAGCACAGCGTAGTCAGCCCGAACCCAAGTCTGGACGGACATGTGCAAAATCATCGGGACCTGTGTGTGACCGTCTCTGCTGCAGGTGGTTCGCGTCCGATATCTGTACATTCCACAAACCGGAATCAAACACCTGGGCGAAATGCAAAGATGTTCGATCGGATCGCTTGCAGGGTAGACGTCAAGGGAGATGTGTGTGCTCTTGACAGATTCGCGCATATTCCGCTGATCGCGGTGCTTTGGGATCGAGCCGCCCCGCCCCCCTTTCCCACTGCGTACACGCGGGCCACCTCACACATTGCCAACGCAACGCCGCCCCGCCGCTTATAGTCTTCTGCTGCTCCGCAATCTGAGTGTCTGGCTTCCTTTCCTTTCTCCGCGGTGCCACTGCCTGGATTGCATGAAGCCGAACCGGATCTTGAGGCCGAC